ACACAAATGTTGAACAATTTATCTTCTTATTGTAAATGCCTTAAAATCAAATCTCTTCTGATGTAACACTAAAGTAAAGTTAGTTCAAAAAGCTTTATTTATTGTTGAAAGAAAACTTAATGCCTGATGTATTTATTTCTCCAGCAGTTAAGCTGCAAGATGAGTCTGACTCAAATCTTCTGTCCTGCAGAGTCAGGCTTGTGTGACAGGCTAAAAATAGCCGTATCCTTGGTCCGAGCTGTGTGTGAGCAATGTTCAGCCCACAGGGTAGGGTTTCTCTACGCCTATGGCTCACCAACCAATCCACACACAGAGGTGGAGTCAGAGGCGGGATCGCCTCTGTACTTCTGTGTCTGTGTGTGTGAGGAGATTAACGCACACACAGCTGGTGGGTGGAGCTTACACTTCTATTCTGATTCTCTGCCCAGTCTAAGCTGAGAGTCTGACCGCTAAGGATGTCTGTACAGAGAAACGAACAAGCCCTGGTGACATCAACCGCACCCAGTCTTCAGAATTTAGCAACTCTCATACAGCTTTATAACATTACAACACAGGAAAAAGTCAACCACAATAGAGACCGAACCAGCAGAAGAAAAATCAGTTTCTCTCTAATTTATCCAAGCAATAGTTTAACCAAGATCAGAGTATTTGAACTTTCACGAGTAAAACAACCACACACAGCAAAGCTTTCACACTTGCATAGAGATAAAAAACACACTTCAAAGCGATTTAACACTGGAACAACGTTTCATGCCAAACAGCAACACACATACACATTATTATTTTTACTCATAATCTATATTTCTCATATTTCACATTACCCAGCTGGTAAAAATAGTTATCATGCTTGTGCACTTCAGCATATATTTTTTATTTATATATATGTCACTCTAAAAACTTATTATTATTATTTTAACTTCTGGTTTTCTGTTCAAAGGCTAATCAGAACAAGATCACAGACTTTGAAATTTGTATAACATTAAACATCAAAACTTAGCACTGCAGTGACTATTGCTAATCTATTTACACTGTTTTTAAGGCTTCTCCTAGTTCTTCTCCTTTTTTTCCTTTTTCCTCATTCTGACCTCTGGCGCCTCACACACAGCTGTTCTCACTCACACACACGCTTGTCTTCACACACACACACACACACACTTGTCTCAGCGCACACACACACACACACTTGTCTCAGCGCACACACACACACACACACGCTTGTCTCAGCGCACACACACACACACACGCTTGTCTCAGCGCACACACAAAAAAAACTCAATAGACAGTTTCCCCGAGCACCCGGGTCTGTCGTTTCCCTTGCAGCCTCTCCGCTGCTCCTATGAGTTCAACACATGCCTTTTGCCAACAACACATGAAATTTACCAATCCTCGAGGATTCAACCGAATTACTGGCAAGCTTATCTGTCACAACTTCAGCGCTTTTTCTCAGATCCCAATCTTAGCCCGGCCTCACCGGGGCATACTGGATCTCACTTGTCGACCTTTTACTTGTCCTCCCTGGACTTTTTTTATCAGCTGTAAAATTCTATTCCAATTCTCGCTGTCCCAGCTTTTAATTTGTCACAAACTTTGTCCGTCATCAAAATGACTCAGCTGACTTCACACATGTGTGAATAATTTCACCGCTGCTCTGGACAAGCGCCTTCTCTTGTTGTTATTCTAAATTATGAGTAGGGCATGTTTTTTCTCCCAGACCATTTCACAATCCACGGAAATAACTCCAAAATTGAACAAAAGTTGTTCTTACCTATAAGGGCCCCGGAGTCAAGTTTCAGTGGACTGAGAAACGATCCGAAGAGCACACCTCCACTCCCCGCTTCGTGGTCACCAAATGTGGTTCTTTTTCCTTATCAAAAACAAGAGAGAGTCAGTTTATCCAAACTCAGCGTGGGGCTTTATTTGTACAATTCAGCAATACATCACCAACACTTCATGGGGACAGCCTTCAGCCTCGAACTAAATGCCTCGGCTGGAAACCTGCTGCAAAGCCCTCTCTCCTACACCACGCAGCATCGGTTATACTCTTCTGGCCCCCACCCTCATGATTTCGGGAAATGATGGGATGCTGTTTTATTACCCAATATGGTCAAAGTAAGCCAATACTTACTGGAAGTTACATAAGCTGGACTGAACAACATGTTGTTGAGCACGTACGCAGCAGCTGGACAATCAAGATGTTAAAAGTGCACGTACACAGGATGCTGGGCTGATCAACATCTTGTCAAAATGCACGTACACAGAACACTGCTTTTTGGCTCCTACAACTGCTATTCCATCCAGCAAGAAGAGGACATTTACCATGGTATGATTTGGTGAAGAGGACACAGGAGGTGCTTGACTTTAAATCGGCTCTACTAAAGAGGTTTATCGGTCGATGCTGATGATGAAAAAATGCTAAATATCGGCCCGATTAATCTGTCGACCCCTACTGCTGATGTAACTTTTTTGAACGTGGTACCGTAACGTCTGTAAGCCCTAAATTCAGCCAATCCTCTAGTGATGTCATCGGCAGATGCAGGACCCCCTGCCAATCTGGCAGCCCGAACAGATCTGGTACCCACACCGGCATCCCGCTGTGCGGTTCAGACGACACAGTGCTCACTGACCCAATTTGGCAATTATTTGCACACTTGTGTACTTCACACGCTAAGATTTACTGTGCACTTACTCCAAGTGCACTTTGCTGAGGAACGTAGGGTGTAGGGCGAGTATTAGGACAAGGCCATAGACTGACACCGTCGGACTTACCAGGTTTCCACCAGCAGAAGATATTTACCTTTAATTTTTATTTGGGATTTACACAGTTTTACTGAATCACATTGAAACTTAATTCATTGAGATGATCAGTCACTCGTGTACCAAGTACCATGCAGGCAATCCGGTCAATTATAAATGTCCAAATTAAAAAGAAGCACATTCGTAGCCTGACCAGCCAGCCCCATGTTTCCTTATGGGAAGCAAAGAGCCTGGTATCACTCCCAATCATGGTGCTCTCTGTCTCTGAAGACTTGTCCTCTGTGTAGACTAGGGATGAGCGAGTACACCACTGTCTGTATCTGTATCTGTTCAACCATCTAAATTATCTGTATCTGTACTCGGGGTGGGCGTGGCCTAACCCGGAAGTGGGTGTGGTTTACATCAATACGATATTTGAAGTCTGATCAGAAGTCGCTATGTGTATTGTTTATTTGAAAACTATTTACAGAGCAGCCTCAGAATTGAGATTAAATGTTTTTGATCACAATAGTAAAGGAACTATTACAGAACAAGTTTTTCAATATAATCAGAACATTAATATTTGAGTGCATGAATTGAGAGAGAGAGAGAAGAAAAAATCTTTTCTATAGCGCCTCTCAAGATTAAAATCACGGGGCGCTTCACAAAAACAAAATGTAAAATTCAAAAAAGAATTTAGAAAATGATTAAAATATATTTTAAATGAGCAAAAAATAGACAATTGTGATTAAAAAATGTAAAGAAAGAGAGAGAGTGAATAGGAAAGAGGGAGTGGAGGAAGAGGAGAGAGAGAGAGGAAAAAAACCCCGACCGGAGCAGAGGCAGTGATTGATGCAGCACGAGCCATTTTCAGCTCTGTCTTGTCAAATGCACCACGTACGTTACAAAAAAAGTAACTTTAAATAACTTTAAAGTAACTTTAAAAAGAAGCAAACTGAAAAAAACATAGGGAGTACTTAAGAAACGTGAACAGTGAAGCAAGCACAGAGAGATCCGTTACTGTCTGTGTGTGCGCGTGGATGGACCGGACGCGGACTGAGCTGTGAGCTCCCGGCTGCAGAGTTTTGTGTGTAGGGAGGGGCGGGTGCTCTATTTGACTGGCCAATCACAGAGCGTGAAGACAGTCAGTTACCCAATGAGGATTTTCCTACAGCATGATTACAGATATTTACGAGTTTTACTCGTTTCATGCTCGTACTCGTCAAAAATGCTTTATCGTCTGAAACGAGTATCCGGCTCATCCCTAGTGTAGACGGCGAGTCTGTTCGGCCAGGAACATTCCTAACAACTCAGCATTTACTTTGGATCCAGCAACATCTCACCTCAAACGCGTATTTAACTATAATATGTTTGAAAGCAAATGCTTGTTTTGATTCATTCACACAGCTTTCTCCAACTCCAGGTTCATTCAAACTGTTACCACTCACTGGTTTTCTTGCAAACTGCTGTACTTCACACATGTGCGCATCCACAATAAAGACTAAAACATGCAGCAGGTCTACTCTGAGGCAGCGTAAAGATGAATACATCACATCACATGAAACCGCTGAGACACTAGGAGACCTGAGTCATTTGAGACTAACCGTTAGCTCGTCAATCCTGAAGCGAGTGAACTATTTCTGCGAAGCTACCTTTACAAGTGTGATATATAACTTATCCTTCAGAAAGGCTGAAGCTCTCATTAAGACGAGCTAGCTCTTCTCTTAAAGTGGGATAAATGCTTAGGCTGAGAATGTTCTCTGGTTCAGCTTCAAGAGCGGTGTTGATGGTGACGTTATTTGTTCTCTTGAACCTTTATGCTCTTGTTAAAAACATGTGCTAATTAAACTCTTGTTTCTAGCCGTCTCTTTTGTCCTCCCCAGTAGGTCCAGCAGGCAGACACTAAGAGCACCTGGATGTGTAGGGATAAGTCATTAGCCAGGCTGTGAGAGTGACTTATTACCACAATTAAAGCCTGCCGTTTTTAGCCCATTAGGAGACGGTCTAATGCACTCCCCTCTCATCACCAAACTATTTCTGGCAGCAGCCGAGCCACTTTCAGCTCCGTCACATGCAGAACTAGGAATATTTGTTCAAAAGTAAGACACAATTACAAACAGGTAAAGTTTTAACCAGAGGGCTGATTTATTCCAAAAATCCAAGTCGAGATCAAATAAAGATCTTTAAAAATAAAGAGTGGCTTTGCTGTCTCAGATTAGACGAATCTGCAGATTCACTGGTGTGGCTGTGATTTCTGTTCTTCTCAGGGATTGTGGCTCTGTGGTCTTTGGCCGTTCTGTCCTTTGAGCGGTTCTTCGTGATCTGTCGGCCGTTGGGGAACATTCGATTGCAAGCAAAGCACGCCATCCTGGGTCTGCTCTTCGTGTGGACCTTTTCCTTTATCTGGACCTTCCCTCCAGTTCTGGGCTGGAACAGGTACACCGTGAGCAAGATTGGAACCACCTGTGAGCCCGACTGGTGAGAAATGACTATTTCTGATGTCCATTTAAACCATGGCACATTTCCTACATAATCCTGGCCTAAGAAATGCTTGTTTGTTGATGTGTTTGTTTGTTTTTTGGAGGGCACTCACAGCACTGGTCCTGGCTCTTCTCTTAGAATAGAAAAAAAGTCACATTCCCATCATTAAATGAATAAATGTAGAATAACAAATGCAAAATTTTCTCTGACTTTGTAAATTAAGGAAAAATAAAAGAAAAATGAACTCAAATTTACAAGACAAGAAAAGAAATCAATGTAGTAAAATCATTAAAGAGAGCAAATGATGAAAATCTGACTTTTTCATCCTAGTGTGCTGACATGTGGGTTAGGGTCACCACCGTATCTATAAAAAACCCATCCACCCCTTTCCTGTCAGTGGTTGAGCTTTGGGAATTATGTGTCTAAAGCGAGCCGTTCCTCAAAGCACCTGGAGAGTTCCCACCCAAAAACATAGATGAGGATCTGACATTTTTGTTTACTGAGATGGAGAGTGGCTATGCTGGAACAACAGAGGGCAGTGGTGAGCCCTAGAAGTGTCTAGCCTGCCATCTCCAAAGAGGGAGAAAAGGAAATGATGGAGGGGCTGCATTTCTCTGCCGGCTGCATGAGGACTTAATTCTCTGGTTAGGCAGCTAGCCCCTGTCTCTCACCTGGGGCCTCATTTATCAAGCTTGCTAACGCACAAAACAGGGTCGGAAAACTGCGTAAGCAACTTTCCACGCAAACTTTGGGATTTATAAAAGAAAATGTAGCAGAAACATGTGCGCAACTTTAAGTTGACTAAGGACCTGGCTTACGCACATGTTGGACATGGAGAGCACCCATAGTGCTGCTGCTGAGAAGGATACAATTATGAAATCCTGCAGCATTATCACTTGTACCCCCCCCCCCCCCCCACACACACACACACACACACACACACAGCCTGAAGCACAGAATACAGAATGCAGATTATCAGTAGGGGGACAGATTGAGACAGAATGTCATGCGTCTGTGACAGTGTGTGTGTCCTGTCACTGTGACCTAATTGATCATGCGCCCTGGCTACGTGTACATGGGAGATCTCCGTTTGGCTGACTGGTTAGCATGCGTTACTTTCACCTGAGAGTCTGGGGATTGGACCGTTTTTTATATCCACCATAGATCTTGCTGACGAACTCACAGCATTGACAGCTTCAGCAACGCTGTGCCACTCCGTGGATTTTTTCTTATCTGTTTTGCAAAAGCACTTCCTTTCATTTCTCCACCTCACCCACAAGTACCTCAATTTATGCTTCGGTGAAATAGTGCTTCCTTGATCTGCCTTGGTCTACGGTCACAGTCTTAATGGTGGAGTGCTGCAACAAGCCGACTTATGTATATGCATGAGATCCACAAGACACTTTGTTAGGGTTGGGCATCGTTTGATTTTGAACGATTCTGATTCCGATTCCAATTCCTTGTTTTGATTCCAATTCCTATAGATTCCCGATTCCGATTCTTTCAAGACATGACATGCTTTACATGAGCCAGCTAACCACAGGTCCTACTTGATGAAATAATCTTAACTTCACGATGAATTCTAACTCTATGATTAACAACATCACCTTCATTTAGACAAAAACATGTTTTGGAGAAAAAAGAAAAAGACTTGCAGCACAACCAGTGCGTTTGTTTCTGACCACAACCAAAGTCTGGAAGAAGCCTCTGGGATGAGAGGCTAAATGTCTCCAACATATCCAGAAATGTCCAGCTGTTTTCAGCTAAAACTCTCAGGATGATCATGTCCAGGATGACTGAGAACTACACCTCCATGCTGCAGCAGCTTCAGTCAGAACAGGAAGTGAAACTTAAACGTAGCTGCTGTCAGTAACAATCTAACAGATTTAAACATTAAAACTCTCAACAGAAATAGTTCAGAAAGGAAATTAAAATGTTCACAACTTTGTGTGTGATTTATTATTATTATTATTATTATTATTATTATTATTATTATTATTATTATTATTATTATTATTATTATTATTTATTGTGGCAGAAGCTAGTGTGGTCCACCACAGAGAAGCTGCTCTAGCATGATGACTTTAATTATTCTGCATGTTATTGTTCAGCCTTCTGACGCTCACACACACACACACACACACACACACACACACACACACACACACACACACACACACACACACACACACACACACACACACACACACACACACACACACACACTAACCACTCTAATCAATTCAGGTAACTCAAATAACTAAATCATAATTACAAACTCCCTATCCATAACAGAAAATATCGACATTAAATTAAACACAAGCATAAATATGAATCTCCCCTCCCTGGGAGTAGGTAGATCCCAGAAGTGCTGATTAGACTTCCCAAGGAGATGAGCTGCAGGTATGAGACTCCATGGGCAACTCCAAGTCACTGGTAACTCAAATAAAATACAAAAACACATGCATTCATAAACATTAGAAGACTGATTGTGTGCACATCAACCAGTCATCCTGGACAGAACACAGAAAACAATCAAACAAACATTTTCGGAAGACCATACCCCTGAGGTGACAGACACTGCTGTCACACAAACACAAAAAAGTAATTTATTAGAGTACTCGATTAATTAGTAAAAGGCTCGATAGAGTACTCAAATACAAAAATATTCGATAGCTGCAACCCCACACACGAGTGTTGGTGAGCAGCTGCGTCTGACTGCTGACGCTCCGTGTGTTTTTATTTCTGCAATGAGACAAACTCGCCTCACACCATCCAGAGTTTGATCTTTAAAGCTTCTATTAAATCCACTGTGTTGACGTATTTAACAAGTTTCCTCTACGCTGCAGGAGTTAAAGTTTACATCGCGGAGTAAAAGTTCGGCAGATGCGTTTGTTTATATCTGGGTGGGGGGAGGGGGGACTCGGTGCTGCACACAGACAGCTGCTGTGATCAGCTCTGAAAAGCATTAATCACAATTTGCAGATCACGTTTATTTTTCATGGAGATCGACCGCGGATTCCTCTTCCATCGGCATTCTAAGAATCTAAATAAAAAACTTTGAATGATTCCAGGAAAAACTAACAGTTGGAACCGGTTCCAATCAATGCTCAATGCCCAACCCTACTCTGCATTGACCATTTATGGCAGAAAGTGGGTGTGTTGGGGGCAGGAAGTGATCCAGAAACAGCTGAGAACCTTTCTAGGTAGTTTCTGATTTAAAAGGCGGAGATTGCGTGAAGCTGTGCGTACTCTATGTTTTATAGGTAACAAACCTACTTGGCGTGAGTACTGTTTTTTGCTTAACTTAAGTACAGTTTTAGTAAGGATTTTACGCAACATTTTATAAATGAGACCCCAGGTGACTAATGACATCCCTAATGAGAAATAAACAGTTAGAGAAAAGTGAAAGTGAGGTATGGATTAATCAGGGCACAGGTTACATTTAACTACAGACTAGGGTTGTTTGTGCTTATGGGCCAAATATCAGTTCAGAGTACTCATCCTTTTTGGAGTCCCTGGGACGAGTGCTAGATAGTGCTCCATCAGGGGACTCCATTGTCCTGCTGGGGGACTTCAATGCTCACGTGGGCAACGACAGCATGACCTGGAGAGGTGTGATTGGGAGGAACGGCCCGCCTGATCTGAACTCGAGTGGTGTTTCTTTATCGGACTTCTGTGAAAGCCGCAGTTTGGCCATAAAAAACACCATGTTCGAACATAAGGATGCCCATCGGTACACTTGGTACTAGGGCAGCCTAGGTCTCAGGTTGATGATAGACTTTGTAGTCATATCATCTGACCTGCGGCTGTATGTTTTGGACACCCGAGTGAAGAGAGGAGCGGAGCTGTCAACTGATCACCACCTGGTGGTGAGTTGGATCAGATGGCAGGGGAAGATGCCGCGTAGACCTGGCAGACCCAAACGCATAGTGAGGGTCTGCTGGGAACGCCTGACAGAAGAACCTGTCAAGACGGTCTTCAACTCCCACCTCAGGCAGAGCTTTGACCGCATCCCGAGAGCAGTAGGGGACATTGACTCCGAGTGGGCCTTGTTCCATTCTGAGATTGTTGAGGCAGCTTTTGCTAGCTGTGGTCACAAGGTGGCCGGTGCCAGCCGTGGTGGCAACCCCCGTACCCGCTGGTGGACACCAGAGGTTCGGGGAGCCGTCAGGCTGAAGAAGGAGGCCTACAGGGCGTGGCTGGTCTGTGGGTCTCCGGAGGCAGCAGACAGGCACCGGATAGCCAAGTGGGGTGCAGCAGTAGCAGTTACCAAGGCAAAATCTCGGGCGTGGGAGGAGTTTGGTGAGGCCATGGAGAAGACTATCGATTGGCTCCAAAGAGGTTCTGGCAAACTGTCCGACACTTCAGAAGAGGAAGGCAGCAACTCGCTCACACTGTTTACAGTGGGGATGGGGAGCTGCTGATGTCAACTGGGGCTATAGTCGGACGGTGGAAGGAATACTTTGAGGAGCTCCTCAATCCCACCTACGCGCATTTCGAGGAGGAACCAGAGCCAGGAGACCTGGGTATAGACTGTCCAATCTCGGGGGCAGAAGTTGCTGAGTGTTGAGGGTCTGCCCTCATGAGGAAATTGCTATGCAGTAATTTCTCCAAAAGACTGTGCCAAAAACGCCCTGGAGCGTGAATAAAAAGGCATATTAAAAATCAGCGCCAGCAACAACTCCATGTCCCATGAGCCTTTGCACCTGGAAGCAATGTGATGACGTCACCGAAGTGACGCCGGATCTCGGAACTCCCAGGTCCCGCCCGCATGAGTGTGCTTAAGATCTGAAGCGCGGAGCAACTCGATCTCTTTGTGTCCAGCTTCAGCTGGTGTTTGAAGAGACGTTTGGTGTCGTGTCCAGAGGTGCTACGGCTCCGGACACGACAAGAGGCCGAGCCGCAGGGGTTTTCTTTGTAAAGAAGAAGGAGGGGGCTCTCCGGCCCTGTATTGACTATCGATGGTTAAATAAAATAACAATCCGGGACCGTCA